CTCCCGACTCCGAAGAGGCCGGCGGAGGCGCCGAGCCCCGCGGCCGTGCGTCACCCTGTCGGGAACGCCGGATGGAGCGCGTGATTGAAGTCTGTGATGGAGGGGGCCGCTGACTAGATATAACTTGCCACGGGAGGCGAAAGGCCTGTTGAACCGGAGGAAGATCGTGAGCATGGCGCGCCCGGATGATCGCGACAAGCTGCCTCCCTGCGGCTTACCTGCCCAGAGTCGACTGCGACCATCCACGTCGGATTGCACGGCCGTGTCGACGGAGACGAGACCCCCCGCTCGAGGAGGTGAACGGCCGCGACCGACTTGGAAGCAGCTTTTCAAGGGACACCCCCAGTTTGCGGCGCGGCTCGCACGGGGGCCAGAAAGGCATCGGAAGAAGCGGTTGTGCACAAGATCAGGAGCGAGCACGCGCAGAGAGAGGCGTCGGCTGGCGAGCGCCACCACGCGTCGCACAGCATGGGACTAGGATCAGTTTCCAATTGGATCTGGCGCGGGGGTCGCCTAGCGACTAAGCATCAAGTTTCGCGTGCATTGCGCCTTCGCGATGGCGAAGCCCCATCGAGATGGGCAGCGTTAGACCATCCCTGCCGCAGACCAGGAACTCTTAAGTAGGCGACGGCTGATGACCAGCGCCCGTGCGCGCCACCGCCCCGAAAGCCCCTGCCCGCGACGTCGGCGATCGAGGGGGGGGGGCCGTCTGGCCTCCAAGAGCAGCCAACGCGCGCAGCGATCAGCACGCAGACAGATGGGGGGAAGAGAGGGCCGAGGACCGCATCTGCAGTCTGGAGCACATCTGTATTGAGCTCGTTCCAAACGGTGGAGAATTGGAGGCTGCGCGCTCGCATTTGGAAATTCAAGCCGCGCGCCCCCACCTATGGGGCGCTGGAAGTGATCGAACGACCCTGTCATATCCGAGACAGGAGACAGGTGGTGATGGAACAAGGTCATGCGATCGACCAGGAGATGATCAATTTTTCCCCCAAGATCGATTCGACCCTCCGCGCCAGAGAGCATCCGGCGAAAGGTGCACCTTTGCCTCGCGGCGGAAGCGGGTTAACAGCTGGCGCGGGGTGGAGCCATATTGTTATATCATATGTTGGAAGCGGGTTGAATGAAACGACGGCGGCAAGCATTGCGAGGACATGTTGAGTGAGTCGAAGTACGTTGTCTTCGGAAGGCTCTTGGCGGGCGGCGGCCAGATTGTCTCGGCCCCCACGGGCGCGCGCCCAGGCGTGGAATGCAAGTGCAGCCACTGGAAGGCAACGACGGAAGAGACGATGGTCTGGCCGAAGGAAGGGAGAGCGAGCTACGCGACTGCAGGATGTCAGGCTGGGGTGCCAGCGATGATGGGCACGGGCGGGGACAGTCGCTGCCGCTCGCAGAGCTCCGCGCCGCCTTCCTCGACTGGAGGAGTTGAATGCCCGAGCGGATCGAAGATCTTGTTCGGCGTGCCAGCGCGCGCCTATAGCCGAATCCACGGGGCCTGCTCGAAGCGCGAGCCGCGCCAGGGCCCGCGCCCACTGGCCGGACGCGCTCGAGGGAGACGTGGAGGCGCGGGCCGCCGACCGAAGGAGGTCCGCGTTTGAGCAGAGATAGACGGCTTCTTGCTGCCGCCGCTGATCGCGAACGTCGAGGCGAGGAGTCTGGTTGGAAAGGACGCAGAAGCGCAGGCCCCGCTGAGCGGGGAACAGACCCACGACGCGGCGGAAATCATCATCCGCAACGCAGGATAAGGGAACCGAGTGGCATTGCTCGGTTCCACTTTGACTCGCATCCGATAAGGCGGTCATGGCGGCACCCGCGCGAGCAGGCGCGAAGGTCGATGTGGCGCCGAGCGAAAAAGAGCTCCGTTCCGAGCGATCATGCCGAGACGCAGCGCAGATGATCCGCGAGTTCGTCGCGGAATCGGAGCTTGGCGGACGTGGAACCTTGGGCTACGACGGCATGCTTCGTTTCTGGCCGAACGCGGGCTTCCTCTTGTCGGAGGCGCACGCGGAAGCAGGGAAGAAGTGGGGCGCCGCCAGGAGAGTAGTTGCCCGTGCGGAAGGCGTTTTTTGCTCCTCCCTCCTCGGCGGCCGGCTCAGCGAAGTGGGCGGTCGAGAGCCGTGGGAACCAAGAGTTGCCTTGCCTGCTTAAGTTGGGCCCGAGAAGCGCGGGGGCGGCGAACAGGGCGCCCCGCGCGACGCGGGCGCAGGGCGAGGTGCCGACCCTCGCAGAGGCGGAGAAGATATCGTGAACAGAACCCAAGGAGGGGCAGCAACCCTCCGATAGGACGCGACGACGGCAAAAAACAAGAAACTAGTCAAGTTCTTCGAGAGGGATTGCCAGCCGTTTGCGCCGCGCGTCCGTCGCTCCCCTCTGGCGGTCGGAGCCGACGCCGCGCGCTGCCCCGAGCGCGGCGCGCGCCCCAGGGCGCAGCATGAGGCCTGTTTGGCCCTCTTGCCCGCCGCGCTAATCCGGAGGATTTGCCTCGCCAGCGCCGGAAGCCAGCCCCAGTGACCCGTCTGCGAGGACCAGTCGCGCCCTCGTGGCTGCTTGCCCTCATTTTTTATCGTGGAGCGGTAGAGTGGAGCGGCGGGGGCGGCTGGCATTGCCGTCGGGGACAGGAATTTACAGCTCCGCCCCGAAGCGTCCCACATAGGAAGTGAGATGATATATAAGGTCGTCGTTGCACCAAGGTCGACGAGGACCGCTGCCTTCTTTGGCTCAAGGTTGGAGGGCCCAAAATGAAGATATTGAACATATTGTATTTACGGAAGTTTGCCCGATCGGTGGACGGAAAACATGTGATTATCATTGCCATTGATCTCTCTCTCTCTCTCTCGCTCTCTCTTTCTCTTTCTCTCTCTCTCTCTCTCTTTCTCTCTCGTGTGATCTCGTTGACAGTCAGGCCCGCGACGCTTCCCAGTCTGATTAAATTGGGGCCTCTCGGGGGCCTCTTGGGGCATGCGTCTTGCGGCATTATGGGGGCATCTTGGGGCGGAAAGCTCGAATTGTCGGTTCGGGCTTCCCCTCTTTGGCCCCGTTTGGGATCGTCTTGGGGCTCTCTTGGGCCGTCTGGGGCGCCTCTTGGGCAGTGATGGGGCCCTCTTGGGTTGTCTTGGTGCCTTCGTGGTGGTCTGATGGACCGTCTTGGGGCGATATTGGAGTCTCCTTGGGTATTCTAGAACGGCGCGAGGCCGAAAAATCGTACATGCGATGGTCCTTCAATGGGCGATGTTTGCCGCTTGGACCTCGCTTGGGGCGTTTGGGGCGCCTATTTCGCCGTTGTCAGGTCATGTTGGGCGTCTTGGACCGATCGTTCGGCGATTTGGGGCCCTCTTGGACCGTGTTGGGGGCGTCGTGGAGCCCTTCTTGGGGCCTTCTTGGTCCCGACAAGGTCTGCGACAATATGCTGGTGAACCCAGGGGGCGCGTGGGAAACCCCAGGGGAATTGTGATTTTCGTTTTGGGGCCCCTTCAGGAATCTTCAGGAGTTAGGACTGAGGCTTCAGGGACTTGGCCAATGGCCTGAGGACACATCAACTCGTGCCTCACGGGCACAGTGGCAGAAATGCACACGTACACGCATGTGCATGCATATATTCATGCACATGCGTATGTGTTTTTTTTATCGGTTGATATGTGTGTATGTGCATGTATGTGTATGTGTAAGTATATATGTATATGAATACGGGCATGTAAATGTATGTGTAGTTGTTCATGTGTGAGTATGTGCGTATGTAGATGTATACGAGTATGTAAATGTATATGTATATGTGTGCATTTGTATGTATATATGCACATGTATGTGCACAATCATATACATGTCCGTATGTATATGTATATGTGTATGGACATGGTCATGTATGTGCAGGTATGTGTTGTTGTATGTGCATATGTATGTGTACATGTATTTTTATCTGTTTGTGTAAATTGAGATGCATAGGTATACGTATATGCATGTGAGGGTGTCCATCCATGTATATACACACATATATACAGGTATGTATAGTCATACGTACATGCAAGGGGCTGAAGGGACGGGTGGGTGCAATGAGGGGCCTGATCAAGGGGTGTTGAAATGGTCGTGGTGGTGAATGTGGTGGTGATGTTGATGGCGATGCTGATGAAGCCGTTGATCATACGGGTTTAGGTGACAGTGGTACACATGATGATGTCGATGCTGCTGCTGCTGCTGATGACGATGATGATGACGATGATGATGATGATGATGATGATGATGATGATGATGATGATGATGATGATGATGATGATGATGATGATGATGATGATGATGATAGGGAAGATGCAGAAGGAGCAGGGCAATCAGGAGGAGGGGCTGGAGGAGGCAGGAGGGGGTGAGGAGGTGGATGGGGAGGAGGAGGTGGAGGAGCAGGAGCAGGAGGAGGAGAATGAGACATCATCGAGGAAGGGGGAACAGGATGACGGGGCGGAGGAGAACTATTTGAAGGCGGCCGAGTTGTAGGAGGAGGGTGAGGCAGTGGAGGACCATGTCCAGCCCCTGACCAGTCCTGAAGGCGATGACAACAGGCGATGGCAACAGGCTTCGGCGAGGAGGGTGAGGCGATGGAACCAGGCGAGGAGGGTGGGGCGATGGCAACTGGCTTCGCTGATGATGCGATCGCCCTGCCGCCAAGCGTCTCCTCGCCTTCCTCCCCATCCTCCGTCCCGTCCTCGTCTTGTCACTGGTGTTCGTTAAGGTATCTCAGTTTCCCCATTCCGCTTCCACTGCTGGCCTGCGCAGGTTGTCGACGCGGGACACATCGTGGAGTCGGAGAGACTTGTGGAGCACATGCTTGGGTTCGGGCAGCCCAGCAAGAGATTTTTGTGCAACATGGCCATCAAGGCCTGCGTTAAGGGGGAGGACGTGGACGCTGCGCGCAGGTGGTACGAGAGGCTGCTCGGCATGACCGTTCCGAACAAGGAGACGTTCGGCAAGCTAACCACCCTCGCCGCGCGCGTCGGCGACGTGGCGCAGGCGGAGCGATGGCTGGAGGAGTCCTGGAAACAAGAATTGCAGAATCATTATCTTTTGGAGCTCCGAAGGTTGATGCTCATGTTTTGGCTCCTCCCCTAAGGAGGCAGAGGCCCAGGGCTTCCTGCCCGACGGCGACTCGCCGATGAGCAACGCCCTGCTGCAGGCCTACGTGCGCGCGGGCGACCCAGAGGGGGCGGCCGCTCGACTCGAGCGCATGCGGGAGGATGGCTTCGAGCTGAACGCGGACAGCTACACAGCCGTGGCAAATGGTTTTGCGCAGCAGGGGGACGCGCAGCGCGCCCGCGAGTGGAGCCAGAGGGCCCAAGATAGCCGGTCGCGTGATAGCCGACCCCGAACCAAACTTCTGATCGGTTTCCCAACCCAACCCGACGACCCGAATTTTGGGTTGGGGGGGGGTACGGGCTCCATGTGTGTTTTTTCAATGTTCCCGGCCCCCCCCCCACTGGAAATGGAGGGCAAATTGAAGCCCTCGGGGTGGGGTTGGGGTGACTTGGCGGGTGGTGGGTTTGACAGAAGGCCAGAGGTCGCCGCAGCGAGAGGAGGAGGAGGAGGAGGAGGAGGAGGAGGAGAAGGAGGAGGTTGCCGCAAATCGGAGCAAGTGTTTGTCAAGGAGTGGCGCGCCATTTCCCAACCCCTCCCCGCTCTGCGATGCAGACGCGGCTCAGCATGAACAACAGAGAGTTGTCATTCATGCTCAGCATGGGCAGTCGTGTTTCTTGTTTGGGGTCGGTTATCGCGCAACCAATAGCAGCCCGTCTCGGGACAAGCAGTCCGGCCACAGAGGCGGCAACATTGAGCTCAACGCGTTCGCACAGGCCGGCGATGTGGCGGCCATAGAGAGCTGGATGGACGAGTCGGAGCGTCTTGGGAAGGACGTGGACGTCGTTGCGTACAACACGGCCATGAAGGCCTTCGCCCAGCAGGCGGGATTTTTGGAGCGCGTGCTGTTCGGTTGTGGGGAGATGGCCGGGGGGAGAGGACCACGGCCAGGGCTCTGTCGCGGCTCCACCACGGGCCCCCGGGACTGCCGCGGGCCCCCAGGACTGTCTTGGGCTGCCTTGATCGCAAGGGTTATGTCGGGCGTGTCCCCCTACAGGGGGATCTTCGACGAAAACTAGAAAATACACCAAAATAGTAAAAGACGGTCCAACAATAGTCTGGGGACTATTTTTTAAGTATTTTTGGACCTTTTGGGTGTATTTTGGGGGTATCTTTTATTTTTCATCGAAAATCCCTCTGTAGGGGGACGCGCCCGACTTAACGCAAGGGTTCTGCCGACATCCAAGCACAAGTGCAGCGGAACCGGAACTGCGTCCGGGCGTCGCAGGCCCCCCCGGGTAGTACAAGCACCGCACGGATGTACGGGACCCACATCGGGCCTCAGTCGAGGGCCCAGGGCAGTTTTGGGCCTTATCGTGGAGTGTTCAGGTCGCCCTGGGGCCTCCTGGGGGTCTCTTGGGACCGTCTTGGGTCCTACGGAGGGCGGTTGGGCTCCTCTGGAGCCAGCTCCAGGCCCTCCGAAGTCTCCCTGAAGCCATCTTAGGCTGAAAAGCTTGTCAAGCAAACCACGTAGGCACATTTGCACTGCGCCGTTTCTTCAATCTCGCTGTCCTCCCAGGGACTTGCTGGAGCGCTTCCTTGGGACCTCTGTGGGACGTCTTGGGATACCTAAGGCCCCCTTGTGGCCCCCTTGTGGTTATCTTGGGGCCCTGGGGGTCTTCGGGCCATCCTGGGACGGTCTCGGCGCTTCTTGCAGCAATCCTTGGGCGATTCGGGCGTCCTGAGGCCCCTCGGGGCCGCGAAAGTGCTGGAGCGAGATTTCTGCGGCGGGCCATCTCAGAAGGCGGCGGAGCTTCTCAGAAGCCCTCGCGCCTTCTACGACAGCTTCTAAGCTTTCTCTGAAGACACAAACAGCTTCTAAGCTTCTCAGAAGACGCAAGGCCTTCTGACAAGCCCCGCTGCCTTTGAGAAGGCCCGCCCCCTCTCATTTCCCCCCAGGCCCGCCGCCCAAAAGTATGCGAAGTTTGACGGGTCATGCGGGTAGTGGGATTGCCAAGGGAAGCGCGCAAACCTCTCCAGACAGGTGAGAGGCATACTAACATTCCCCAGCATAGGTTTTGTCGGCCCATCCGGCCACCGCGCTTGGGTTGCTTTGATACCCTCTCTCCCCGCTCCCCCCCAACTATTACGACGATAAGAAGGAGGATGGAGGGGACGGGTTGAGGAAGGAGGGGGAAAGGGAATTGAGAACGAGCCGGACGAGGAGGAGGCCGAAAAGTACGTTGGTCAGGATGCTGATGAGGGGGTAACCAGGTGAGTGAGAGGGAGAGGAGAACTTATCGTGGGATGGGTGGGAGGAAGAGCAGGAGGCATTCGCGCATGATGCGCGCTGCTGCTTTCGATTATCCAGCTGCTTGCGGCGAGTATCGCGACCGTGCAAGCGCAGCACTTTGTGTGGCGACGCTTCGATCACCACCCAGAAGGCCCTCTTGGAGCTGCTCTGGACCGCCTTGGGGGCTTCTCGGGGTCCTCATTGGGCTCTTGTGGGTTTTGGCCTTGTTGGATGGCCTCTTAGCCTGATCCTTGGTCACTTTGGAAACGTCCAGGGATTTTCTTGGCGCCTTTTCCAGTCTTGGTTCTGGGTTGTCGGGTGCGTCTTGAGGCATTGCTGGACATTCTTGACGGCTTTGGTGTCCTCGGGCCGTCATGGCACCAAGCCCGGCACGGGTTGCAAGGACGCACCCCAGGCCTTCTCTATGAAATTCGCCCGGGTCGCGCGCTCACCAGAGTGCAACACAAAACTTACAAGGTGGGTCTTGAAGCTCGAGGTCAAGCATGAGGCGTCCAGCAAGTGTTGTTGGCGGCTCAAAGCTCGTGCTCATGGTGTCGGGGTACGGCATGAGGGGCGCCATCTACACGCGCCTCGGCGAGTGCCGCAGCACCGGCAAAGAGGCCTGCCACTTGTTCGATGCCGTAACCCGCTCGCACGAACTTGCGTGCAGGAGCTGCTCGCAGCGCGAGGCGCAGCTGATGGGTTGCACGCCCACCTCCTCGCGCTCCACGAGATGATCCAGGGCCCAGCCTCCGCCGAGGAGATCAGGAAGCTGAAAGAGGAGGGAGGTTACGCAATACCGGCAACCCTGGTCGTGGGCGGGATGCCCGTCTTCGCGGCCATTGCCATCGATCCTGCGCGTCCACCTCCAGAGCACAGCGCGGCAGGCCACCCGTGGTGGCTCTCCGACCAGCCCCGCACAAAGCAGATCACTTACACGCTCTGGTGCGATACCCGTGGTATGATCGGGGGAACGCTAGACCCGAGTAAGCCGGAACGACGTTTTTTTGACGAGCGCGTCCTGGATTTTGACGGTCCAGTTTTCGTGGGACGTCTGCAGCGGGAGTTCGCGTCAAATTTCACATCGGACCTCGTCATTTTTATGATGGCCCCGTCGGCCAACCCGACTCACCCGTACCCGAGTCCCTACGTCTCCCCGATATGAGGGCCGACCCCATGACGAAGGGGAACATCGGCCAGGATCTGAGCTCGGACGTGATGTGCGGGAGTCTTAGGTGCGACCACGCCACGTGCACACAGAGCGACGACGACAGGATAACCAGCTTGGAGCCTCTCTTCATGTAATCGACTGCGAAACATAACAACGGCTGTTGCATGGCGCGAGCTGTGTTCGTGAATGCGATTACAGGATATGAAACGACATCCGCATGTCGTGAACTATGCTCGCGAGCGCGACGTAGCAGGACATATGAGAGATCACCTGCGCAAGGCGAAATATAGTCGCAAATGCGATTTAGTGAGTCATTGTTAAGAAGAGACGTTACTGAGAGTTGCGCTCGTGGAGCAGCAGCCTTTTCGGCGCGCAGCACGTTGATCGTCTTGCTGCGCTCCTCCATTTATTTGCCCTCATTTCGCTGGAATTTGTTATGAGGGACCTGGTTAATAGAAGGCCCCCGTTGAGACTTGCCTCTCGTCGCAAGTGTTGTCGCGGGATGCGGTAGCCTGCTCGGGTTTGCTGTAGGAGTTGTGCCGGGAGTAGTTGTCGTCCGTCCTCGTGCGCCGTGAAATCTGGACGCCCGGGATGGGCACGGAAAGAATGGGTACGATGCCCAACAGCAGTTCCTGTTCATTCTGACCAGGATTCGCTGTTCACGCCGCCGCGGCCTGTGTCCATTCGAGACAGAAGGCCGCCTGCCCAACAGCGGCCGCTGTTGGTTTGGGACAACGACAACATTTGTTGATGGGCATTGTACCCATTCTTTCGGTACTCAATTCGGGTGTCCAAATGACAGTTTTTTGCGGTTGGCACTTTGGGGGTCCATGTGCCTTGGGACGGCGCGGTGTCCAGCAATTCTCGGAGCGTGCCGAAATCACGCTTGTGCTATCTTGCTGCAGCAGTTTATGAGGCCACGCTGGTTGCGGCACGGGTCGCGTGCTGCAGCCGACAGGGCGCAAGCAGACTCGCTTGAGCACCAGATTCGGAAGGTAGCCTACCAACCTTTTCTGTCTTATTTACCCTGTGATTGTCTCCCCTTGCCACCGCCGTTTTGGCTTTAGTGTACGGGTGCCTGCAGCGTTCCCGTGCCCGCGTTAGATTCGTGATAGAGTCGTGTTCTACCATGTTCATTGCCTGTTCGTCAAGGCAAACGTATATTTTACTTCGCAGTCCGTTGTCGTAGTCTCGCTTTCTGTCTCCTCTTCATCCTCCTCCGCCTATCCCTCGTCTTTTTCCTCCTCCTTGCCAGGGCTGCGGAGGGAGGAGGTCGGAGGATCTCCGGAGGAGGCAGAGGCGGAGGAGCAGGGCGATGGGAAAACCGTGAAGTTGGGAGATCGGCTCGAGCAGTCGCCTGGGGAGCGTGGCCGGGGGGACGTAAGATTCGAGTTCGGCGGAATGTAACTTCGCCGACGTTTTTGTTGATTGGCGCGTCCTGAGTGTTGACGGCTGTGCGAGCGTAGAATGTTTGCAGCGGGAGCTCAGACTGGGTCTCGTCATTTTCCTGACAGCCCCGCCAGGCAAACCCGAGGCTCCCGAACCCGAGTCCTGCGTCTCCCCGACTGCTTGGCATCGCTCGGACGTGTGCATTTTTCTTTTGGCGAGGACCATCGAGGAGCATCCACGCACGAGACCGAACAAAGACACAGGGAATGAACGTCCGAGCGATGGCCAGAAAGAGGCGCGTCTTCGACTGAGCCTGCCCCTCCATCAGGGCGACGTCACCAGGCTGCTGGGGTGGTTGGAGCGGATGCTGGCGGCAAGGCTGGCGCCAGATAGCAGGCCGCAGGGCCTTAGATTCCACTTCCCGTCGTGCCTCGGCTGCGGAGGGGCTCGGTCGGGAGGCGTGGTTTTGTCGCGCCCCCTCTGGGGGGGTGGGGTCCTGTCGCCTCTCGAGGTTGTCTCCGAGCCGTGCTGATACATGATCGACGGGTGTGTGGGCCGTTTTCGGTCTTCGGGGGCCCTTGCCAGGCCCCGGGACCGTCAAACAGCGAGTCTGGACGAAGCATTGGCCCTTGGGAAGGGGCCAGGACTGCAGAGACCCCGTCCAGAAAGCACAAAGCATCGGATGTCTGAGTGTGGTGGATTTCGGACGTGGTCGGGACGAGGAACTCCGTGCCAGAGCTTCCTGGACCGTACTCAGAGCGTTCCAGAACGCTCTGAGAGGGCCGCAGCGCCCAGGGCATCCTCCACAGCCGCGGGATCTCAGAGATTCTCGATGTATCCTCACCCGATGTCATCCTCGTCCTGGCTTCCTCTGGTGGCTTTGGGGACCGTTTGGGGTCGGCTCCGGGCCGTTCTGGCGCGGTCCTGGGAGCTCGGGGATTGGGGGAAAGCGGGACGACGAGAGCCGCTCGCCGAACGGTCGTTGACGCCCTCAGTACCTACAACATGCTCATCCAGGGGAACGAAAGATTGTACAAACACAACTCGGAGGTCCGCACGGATTTCTCGGATCGGCGTTGGACCCCCCTCTCTGTCGCGCGCAGCGCGGCAGGGGCGGCGCCGGAGGCGCCGCAGGAGGGGTCCATCCGCGCGGACTTGGAGTGTGGTTTGTTCATGTCATTGTTCGTTCACCTGTCCTCAACGCCTACACCGACCGGGGCGACAAGGTCATGGCGGAGCTGTGGCGGCAGAGGGCGGCCTCGAAGGCATCTGGCCTTCACCACACTGACCCAGTCACCGTGGCCAGCGCTGTGCAGGCGCGCCTGCGGGCCGGGGACTTCGAGGGCGCGGAGAAGTACTTCGAGGACGAGTTTGGGAGGCACGCCCAGTTCCCCATTCGGCGGCGAACCTGGGGGGAAGGGAGAATCGAAGAAGAAAAATGCCATAAGCGCCAAACAGTTTATGTTTATGGCGTTTGTATTCTTCTAGAGAAGGGGCGGGCCTTCTCAGAAGGCTCGGAAAGCCTCGGGCCTTCGGATAAGTTTTCCGGGCCTGTACCAGAAGACGCAGAGCAATTCGCAGAAGGCCGTTGGGCTTCCGAGAAACACCGCCGCCTTCTGGGAAGGCCTGCTCCTGGTCACTTCCCCCCGGGCGCGCCGCCGACTCAGACGGGATGCGATGATCATTCTCACCAGCTTTATCGAGGCGTTCGCCAGGGCAGGGAACTTGGAGCGCGCAGAGGCTGCGTTTGAGAGGATCGAGAGCTTGAACGCGCGACCCAACATCAGAACTTTCAACGCCATACTCAAGGCGACCTGTGCGACCGGGGACCACAGAAAGGCAAGCCACTACTACAGAAAGGCAGTGGCTCTTGGTATTGAGCCAGATTCGTACTCGTACAACTCTTTGATCATGTCGTGCGCGAAGGCAACCTATGCGGAGGGTGCCCTACAGTGGCTGGACACAATGGCAGCGCAGAGTGTGGAGCCGCACCTCCTGGGGTACGACCATGCCATCAGCGCTTGTTCTCGAAGCGACCCCGATCGCTTCGAGATGACCTGGCAGCTGCTTGACCGAGCCATCCAGCTGGGTCTGCGACCGAGCTTGGGCACGTACAAGGTGGTCTTCCGATGCTGCCTGAGGTGCGGAGACGTGGCTAGGAAGCCTGCAGAAGGGCTCTTCAGGAGCATGGTCGCAAGCCGAGTCGAGCCAGACGGAGCTGTGCGGAGCACGCTCGCGCAGCTTCTGGGGGGGGCGCGTTTCAGATCGGAGGGCCCCAGGCTGCCGGGCTCCTCCACCTGCTCCTCCTCTTCCTCCTCCTCCTTCTCCTCCTCCTCCTCTTCTTCCTCCTCCTCCTCCTCCTCCTCCTTCTCCTCCTCCTGCCTCGCGCCCCGACGAGACAGTGTTTGCCAGGAGCGGTCGAGCAGCAGCACAGCAGAGAGGTCGCCCGCAGGGGCGCGAAGACGCGTCCCGATACCTCCGCTTCGGGCACCGCGGCCTGGGATGGAGAGCTGTGGCTCTTCAGGGCGGTGGCGCCGATGCCCTGATGTTGTTCCCGTCGTACTCAATGACCACATCCCCCACAACAAAAATGCTGACCGCCCAGAAACATGTCGAAACGGTGTCGAGCGAGTATCGCCTCCCGGGGCCCGACACGTGAAAACCCTCCAGCTTCGGTATTTGGTTGGTGTTCGAAATTATTTTGGGTGGCCAAGGCTAAAGTGTCAGCCACGCGCAGAGGAGGGTGGGGGGAAGGGGGGAGGGCTTCTTAGAAGAACCCTGCTTCTTAGAAGGCGCGGGCCTCATCTATAGATGTAAGGCCGGCGCCTTCTAAGAGGCAGCCTCCTTCCAAGAGGCCCTCCCCCTCCCTCCGCCCCCTTGTGCGCACCGCCAGGAGTAGGTTGGAACATCAGAACAATGCCCGACGTTGGCGGCTCAGATGTCAGAGAGCAGCCGATCAGGAGGGCTTGAAACTGGAGCAGCGGGTCCGAGACCCGGCGCCAGGCGGCAGCCTGAGGCCCTCCGAGGAGAGAGCTCTGCGCCGAGCTTGGTGGGCCCCGCACGGCGACCGCGTCCTCCTCCTCTTGCCCCTCTTCCTCCCCTTCTGCTGGAGGAAAAGGAGAGGGGGAGGAGGAGGAGGAGGAGGAGGAGGAGGAGGAGGAGGAGGAGGAGGAGGAGGAGGAGGAGGAGGAGGAGGAGGAGGAGGAGGGAGGAGGAGGAGGAGGTAGGCGGAGGGAGCAGGGAGGGGGAGCAGGGAGGAGGAGGAGGAGGGAGGAGGAGGAGGAGGAGGAGGGAGGAGGAGAGGAGGAGGAGGAGGGAGGAGGAGGCGGAGGAGGAGGGGGAGGAGGAGGAGGAGGAGGAGGAGGAGGAGGAGGAGGAGGAGGAGGGAGGAGGGAGGAGGGAGGAGGGAGGAGGTGCCATCATGGTGCCATCTTGAGGCTTCCAAAGCCCATCGGAAGCGAAAAGGCGATAATGCCAAAAACATTGATTTTCCCAATGCTTTTGAAGGGTTTGGGCATCTTGGAGAGCGCCGTGGAGGGCTTCGAAGGGCTCTTGGATCCTTCTTGGGGCTGTCTTGGGGCCTCCCGGGGGTATGTCGGAGGCTATCTTGACCCATCTTGAAGTAACATGGGCCATCTTGGAGGCCATCTTGCGACTTTGAACGCCTCTTGGAGCAATCTTGGGCCATCTTGGACGCTCTAACGCCTCGCGGCGCGCCCCGTCCAGGCCCAGGGGAGGGGGTAGGGGGAGGGGTTTCAGCGGAAGAGAGAAGAAAAAAACGCGTTATACCACCCAAGCCCCGAGGGCAGGTGGAATTTCACTAAGAATCTCGACGCGGAGTTATGAAAAAAACCTCTGTAAAGACAAGATCCAACAGATGATTCCCCGCGCCGGGCGGGCCCCGAACGAGTTGACGAAAACCCTGCTCTTCTGCTTTAATGCGCGGCTCTCGGGCTGGACGAGAACAGAAAAACGAAGCCACTCCTTATGATGTACGTTAAAATCTCCTACAATGACTGAACATGTGCGTATTACGTAGGGAGAGTCATTCGTTATGGCATCGCGCCGCCTGCACCTCCTCGCAAACGGACGGCAACGCCACCCCATAACCAACAGCCGTGTGCAACCGACACCGACCTACGAGGCCACTGGATTGGCATCGCTATCTTTGGCCTTTTCTGAGTCGCCATCGGATGCGCGGTTGGACATGTGCGGCGTGGTGCATACAACGCGCGTACTACCGGCCCTCATTGGGACCCTGCCGGTGACGTACCTTTCCGTGAGTTCGCTCGCGATGTGCATGCTTGCATAAGCACTAGCGTGGCCTTGGAGGTCTCGCAAGGACCATTGCCATGAGCGCCCCTCCTTGCAATAATGAATTTTGAAGTGAACATTGGAGGGCGCCACACCGATAGCGCGATCTACATAATGTTCCTCCTCAGCACTCAAAATTTGAAAACCTGGAAGAGGAACGACAACTTCACTCGGGGGCGGCTCTCATTGATTTCGCGTCCATGCGGGAGAACGGATCGACCCAGCGCTGGCTTGCTCCGAGATTGTACGCTTCGCACCGCGGGGTTCAACGTCCCAAATTTCCAGATCTTGACAAACATGCTGTTCAGGGCCCTAGGTGTCGGTACTTCGCGTGCACAGCAACTTCTATCACCTTCGAACCACCCAACGCCAAGGACTCAGTAACATATCGACGCCATACTGGAGCGCACGAGGGCTTACGCCCCTATTGCTCAATGAGCCCCTAGCAACATTGGTGGTGTATTAAGCCACGGCCACCGCGCTGCCTGCCAGCACCGTCTGGAATGACGATCCATGACCAAGCGAGGCCACCACTATTAAGCCAAGAAGGTGGCCAGCCCGTGGGGTCGCAAGGCTCCTGGGCTCGATATCAAGGGCCGTTGGCAAAGGCGGCCCTTATCCTACCCTCACGAGCTCGGCGGGGCAACCTGCAAAGACCGACTTTGACTCAGGGCATCAATATTAGCACCTTGTCTGATGAAGGGACTGATAGTTTCGATTACGCGGAGTATTTCCGTGACAATATTGTTACAACAAGTCTTTACGGTGACGGTTGCTGCGACACCGCCGTCGACATAAATGCTGGTTTCGGGCGTTTCCATGCGAGCGCGCGAGCGTTATTCCAAATTGGCGCGTGTATGTGGCGCACGCGTGTGAGAATATGTGCATGTGTGTGCGCGTGTGCGGGTGAGGCTGTGTGTGCGTGCGTGCGTGCGTGTATGTGTATGTAAGTGTGAGCGCGCGTGCTTGTATATATGCTTGAGTGTGGGCGTGGGCGGGAGCGTGAGCGTGAACGTGTGTGTGCGCGTGTGATTGTGTTTGTGTGTATGCACGCGGGCACACACGCACGTTTGCACACCTACATACAAACAAACACATACACACACACCTACATATATATATATATATATATATATATATATATATATATATACACATATAACGGCGCACCGGGTCCGGGGGCCCGGGGCCGGGACCCCGACCACAAATGTGGGCTCCGGGGGGCCCGGAGGCTCGTCGGACCGCCGGACGCCGTCCAAGATCGTTCGCAGGCGGCTTCGAAACGCGCTCCGATGGCTCCAGATGCCTTCCAACACGCCTGTCATGACACCAAGAAGGTCCCAGAAGCCTCCAAGACGCTCCGAGAGGCAGCCCAAGAGAGGCCCAAGAAGCAAAAATCGTGCATGTTCGCCTCTTGGGTTTTCACCGCGTCCAAGACGGCCCAAGAGGCGCCCAAGACGGTCTACGAGGCCTCCGGGAGCGCTCCAAGGCTGCGCACGAGTGTCCCAGGACGGCCCCAAGACGGCCGAAGAGAGCCCCAAGACGAGTTCGAGAGGGGTCCCAGACGGAGAAAGCCAACCTCGAATTCCGAGCTTCCGGCCCAAGAGGCTCCAGGAGGCGCCAAAATGCCGCCAAGAGGCGCCAAAAGGCTCCCAAAAGCACCCCGAGACGTTCCGAGAGGCACCCCAAGAGAGGTCCAACTATGGGGAAACGTATATTTTTCGCATGTTCGCATCTTGGGCTTTCACCGCGTCCAAGACGGCCCAAGAGGCCTCCAAGACGGCCTAGGAGGCCTCCGGGAGCGCTCCAAGGCTGCGCACGAGTGGCTCAGGACGGCCCCAAGACGGCCCAAGAGAACCCCAAGACGACTTCGAGAGGGGTCCCAGAAGGAGAAAGCCACTCTCGAATTCCGAGCTTCCGGCCCAACATATCCCAGGAGGCGCCAAAACGCCACCCAGAGGCGCCAAAAGGCTTCCAAAATCAGCCCAAGACGTTCCGAGAGGCACCCCAAGAGAGGTCCAAGAAACAAAAATCGTGCCATTCCTATGGGAAAACGTATATTTTTCGCATGTTCGCATCTTGGGCTTTCACCGCGTCCAAGACGGCCCAAGAGGCCTCCAAGACCGCCCCAAGACGGCCCAAGAAGCTTCCAAGAGGGCCCCAGGACAGCCCAAGAGGGCCCCAAGACGGCCCAAGAGGCGCCCAAGATGGCCCAAGAGGGCCCCAAGACGGGCCCAAGAGGGGGCCCAGAGGGGGACCACGAACCGCAAGCTCGAGCCTTCCGCCCCAAGAGGCCGCCAGGAGGCCCCAAGGAGGCCCCTCAAGAGGCCCCAGGAGACCCCCAAGAGGCCCAAAGGAGGCCCCGAGAAGCCCCAAATCGGCCCCCAAAATGCTTCGAACCTGCTTCCAGGAGGCCCCCGACAGGTTCAGAGGCTCCCGAGAAGCTACGTCAAACTCCCAGCGAGCGGCCGGACGAGGCCCCCCACAAAATCACAAGAGGGTTCCAGTATTTGTATCCTTCACCGCTCTCAGGCCTTCTTCCCCCTGCCCCCTTCCCTGCGACTTTCGTTGACTCAAGCTCGCCTCCTAGCTAGAACCTAAGCGCGCGCGAAGCGCGCGCGTGGTTCTAATATATATATATATATATATATATATATATATATACATTCATGTATACATTCATGGAAATGTGTACATACACACCTGTCTATATATATATATATAGATGTATATATATGTATATATATATATATATGTATATGCGTCCGCGCATACACGCACACACACAAACGCACACGCAAACACACAAACACACCACACACACACACACGCACACACACAGACGCGTGCACACCCGCACTTTACACAAACAAACACACACACACACACACCTACGCACCCACGCACCCACGCACACACACACGCATTTGTGTGTGACTTTGCTTACGTGTGTGAATAAGTGTCCAACAACACTTTCTTCTCTGATGCCGAAATGCAGAGCACACGCCGTCTTCTTCACAAATGTCTATATGCAATGATACCCTTGGACTGGCTTACTTTTAAAACTTACAAAACAACGCGACGGTCAGCATCACTGACGATTCCTATATTTTGCTAGCCCTATCGGTCGTGTATTTTCTAACGGAGCTTGCGCCGAGTTTTGGCATGCAAATTAGTGCAGACAATTTTTCGTTGAAGCGCTGGTTTTGCATACTATAAAAAGAAAAGGAATATATATCCGTATTTTTTCGCGCGCTACTATTGTTCAAGAGAATTTTGGTGAGCAGCAACGCCTGATACGTTTTGCGAACGGAACTCAAAAATCATATGCGCCGCATTAAAAAGCATTCCGGGTTAATCAATGCAGCGATTTTGCCGGATCGTGAATCGCCCCAACTTGAATGACAATTCGATCCGTAATCGTGACATATATTCTTTCTTACGACAAATGACCGCATGTTTCGCTGAAAATGAAAAAGGTTTGCTCCATCTCCTTGTTCACTGTATTTCTGCCTCGTTCCCTCTTCGTCAGTCTTTCCTCCTCCTGTCCCCCCCTCCTACCCTTTTCGCCTTATTTTCTTCTTTCGTCCCCTCCTTTCTCCTTCTCCCCCTTTGCGCGCAGATGACTTATTCGCACATGAAACAACAGAGAACCGGAATGATTATAACCGACCGACCGGAATAGGCAACCCACAGAATGCCGCAGCCACGGAAAGCAAGTAGAAAAGCACGTGTCCCAATGTATGGAGTTGGTGCTTGCAGATCTTGAAAAATTTAGCGAAAATGCGCAGCCGATTTCGGTGGGCCGCAAGGTTGCACATTCCGGTTTCTGAGTTCTTGGTCAAGTTGTTGGTTCGGAGCCGATTTCGGTGGTTCCTGGTCGATTCTTTATCGATCGGCATCACCATCGATCTCATCCCCACCTCTTCGTCGATCCCACAATCGTTCCATTATAGATCTCACATTTGGTATCACTATAGATCGTGCAATAGATCTCGCTGAATATATTTTATTATCGGTCCCACGATCGGCCTCACTACCATTTTCGCTATCGATCCCACGATCGATCGCACTATCGATCTCAACATCCAGATCAATAATCACACCAGCTCTGTGGTCGTCGGGGGATTTAGAGCGTTTCCTCTGTCACCCCTCCTTCTTCACCTTAGGAGAGGAGTTTACCTTTCCCCTGCCACCCCTCCGTGGCCTTGGAGGGAAGGAATCAAAATGCTTATACTAAGGATTCGGCTCCATGTTGGGCTCCTGGGGAGACCGCTTTATGTTTCCCTCTTGTTTGATCGATATTTTTCTTCAAGATGGCCAAAAGAAGCGCCAAAGAGGTCCCAAAGATCAAGATGGCCACAAGATGATCCCAAGAAGCCCCCAGGAGGCTCCCGGGAGGCCCCCGAAAGGCACCCAAGATGCTACAGGAAACCTCTGCGAGAATGCCAAACACGGCCTTGGCGAGGAACCCCAAATTACTGGTTTTACGGAGGTTTTGGCTTCATGTTGGCCTCGCTAATTAATATTCC